TTCCCGGACCTGCATAAAGAAAATTCATTAGTATGAAACTTGAAACACTTAGTATAAAACATAAATATGCAAAATAAACGCAGCCAGAAAATACAATGGGACCGCCGTGTTAATGCTGCAGGTCCAGAAAGTCTACTAGTCGTGGCGAGTCTCAGAAAAAGCAGTGTTAAGTAATTCTTACGTTGCTTTTAATTTTTTTTTTAGAATTAGTGTAGTAACCATAGACAACTTCCATCTTCTCCTTATTCTGGGGAGGGAGGTACTCATTTTTCCATTAAGGAATTCCACAAAAAATACGAGCAATACATATATTCAGCCATTTTTTTACCTTTACGGACCCGTGATACCAGCCAATGACACCACCGGTAGTGTCAAGGGTATATTTCAATCCCCATGACACCACCGGTAGTGTCAAGGGTATATTCAATCCCCATGACACCACCGGTAGTGTCAAGGGTATTCTTCAATCCCCATGACACCACAAGTATTGTCAAAGTTATTATTATTTTATAAAATGACACGACCGAGTACCTAACAGAAACAAAGATACTTATTTAATAATAATTATTAAATAAAATAGAAGTCATCCGAGCCTCATTCAGAGGAAAGAAAATTTTCATTTTATATTAAATAAACACATAATCATAAACACAATTCAACGTTCACTGAACGTTTTGTCAGATATTCACGATTTGAATGTGTTTGATTATTTTTTTTATTAGAATGACGACTTCATTTTACGAGTACAAATGCAGTTCATTAACAATGAGACCAGCTCATTTCTTAAAATGTTATGTACTATTAGTATTATCATTACAATTTATCATTTTGTAATATTAGTCATTTTAAAACCTAAGTTTATCTAACGCATGTCCTGCGCTAATCTCATTCTTTTGAAGTGCATTTGTACTCGCAAAATGACGTTGTGATAGTCAATTAAAATCTTCCTTCTTTTAGCAGGTATCTTCAAATCGTGAATATCCGACAAAACGTTCAGTAAACGTTGAATTGTTGTGTTTTTCTTTGTGTTTGTTCAATCTGAAATGAAAATTTTCTGCAACATTCGTCTTACGATGACGTTCACCGAAAACACTGAACACGTTCACTTTCAACCAATATTATTTATGTATCTTATAAATTTTAACAAATTTTCTTTTCCTGCCTATAATCATTTGATTTATTACAGTTTTATATTTAAAGTTTTTTTTAAATGATTATATACCCTTGACACCACCGGTGTCACAGAGATTAAATAATACCCCTGACACTACCGGTGGTGTCATATGGATTGAAAAATACCCTTGACACTAACGGTGGTGTCATTGGGTGGTATCACGGGTCCGTAACGATTTTTACTACAAACTATTATTTATTAAATTGTTATTATCCTTAAATATAATATATGTAAAGATAACTCATACGTAAAAAACCATTTCTTGGGTTGACGTTTACAAATTGCTAAACATATTTAAATTTTATTAAATGTCGTTTTTTTTTGCAATTAGAATATCACTTATAATGTAAACATTTCGTAAGAATCAACGTAAGTACAATTTCCTTCATTTTAATATTAAAAGTACTGTAATGGATTTAAATTGGATTCCAATTTCGGCCCTATCTGTCTAGTTGACGTTAGATGTCTGTTCACAAAAAAAAGATTTTTTTAGCGATTAAAAATTGTTTAGGACTGAATGCAGAACAAATTTCTTTATTATTTTACTAAAGACTAGCTGACCCGCGCAACTTCGTCTGCGTCTCTCAATAGTAATAATTTTTCTCCGTTTTTGAAACATTCTTCATTGGTGCTCCGCTCCTATTGGTCTTAGCGTGATGATATATAGCCTTCCTCGATAAATGGGCTATCTAACACTGAAAGAATTTTTCAAATCGGACCAGTAGTGCCTGAGATTAGCGCGTTCAAACAAACAAACAAACAAACTCTTCAGCTTTATAATATTAGTATAGATAACCTCTACGTACCTTCGTATTTTTAATTTCCATTACAAAAAGTTTAATCATCTAGTTTCGAATAGATGTAACTATTTTTCAGAAAACACTAAGAGAATTTTCTAGTGTAATAAAATAAGTATAAAATGAAATAATACATGGGCTGAAAAGTCCGGGCCTAACAAAGAAAACACAGTTTTTTTTGGTTCAAAATGAGCTTTAATCATCAACGTAATCTCCATCAAGAGCAGCTCAATCATTCCAGCGCCGCTCTAACATTTCAATACCACTTGTAGAACGATTTATCTTTTGCCTCAAAATAGGCCTGTTTCAGCGATAACCTCTTCATTCGTGCGAAATTTCTTACCGGCGAGCATTTTTTTCAGGTCTGCGAACAGCCAGCAGTCGCTGGGCGCCAAATCTGGCGAATACGGTTTATGTGGGAGCAATTCGAAGTTCAATTCATGTAGTTTTGCCATTGTTTTGATTGACTTGTGACACGGTGCGTTGTCTTGATGAAACAATTTTTTCTTTGCCATATGCGGTCGTTTCTTTGCAATTTCGGCCTTCAAATGCTCCAATAACGCTAAATAATATTCACTGTTAATGGTATTTCCTTTCTCAAGATAGTCGATGAATATTACACCACGCACATCCCAAAATACCGTCCCATACCAAAATACCTTTCCAGCCGATTGTTGTGCTTTCGGGCGCTTTGGACGAGGTTCACCAGTTGCTGTCCACTCAGATGACGATCGTTTTGATTCCGGAGTGAAGTGATGGATCCATGTTTCATCCATTGTCACATATCGACGCAAAAATTCCGTTTGTTACGTTTAAACATGGCCAAACACTGCTCAGAATCATCAACACGTTCTCGTTTTTGGTCAACAGTGAGTAAACGCGGCACCCACTTTAAACAGAGCTTTCTCATAGTCAAATGCTCATGCAATATAAAGCCCACACGTTCTTTTGATATCTTTACGATGTCAGCTAACTCACGCAACTTCACTTTTTGCTCATTCAAAACGATTTTGTGGAATTTTTTTTATGTTTTCTGGTGTTACCGCCTCATTTGGACGTCCACTGCGTTCTGCATTATCGGTGTCTCTACGACCACGTTTGAAGTCAGCAAACCAACGTTTTTCTGATGGAGCGGAGTCCCCATAACACTTTTCAAGCCATTGCTTCGCTTGAACGGTATTTTTTCCCATCAAGAAGCAGTGTAAAATTAAAGCACGAAATTGTTTTTGATCCATTGTTTTGAAAATAACAAAAGTAACGTCACTCTTAGCACAATAACTCACAAACTAATGAATAGAATATCAGGAAATTCTAACAGCTGTCTTTTGAAGGTTAGTATTAACTGAAAAAAAGGTGACTGCAATAAAACTAGTGCCACGTGTTAGGCCCGGGACTTTTCAGCCCATGTAATATGATGCTATCTAAAGCAACAAAACGTCTACCTATCCGAATAATATTTACGGGATAAAATAGAAAATTTGATCCTTTTCTACTAAATACCACGAAAATATACCGATTTGCGATTTTGCGACACGGTACGGACGCTGAGTACTAATTTTAAGCATTGCCTACTGTGATGGTCAGGACCTAAATATAATCACAGTGCATAGTTGCTTAGGCCCTCTCCACTTTGTATTTGCTCTGTGTTCGCACCGCTCGGATTATCACTGCAGCGAATGTCCCGTGGCCATGCCGTTAAGTTAAATACGTACCGCCTAGTTCTCATCCCCTCACTTATTTTATTTAAATTTGACCATTCATTCTTACCATTAAAATTTAATCTGAGCAAGATAATTTAATTACGTTTTGCAGTTATTAAATGAAAGTCATGACATGATGACTCAAAGATTGCAATGAGTCAGATAATTTTAAATCTTAACACATGTGGTATTATGTTTAACTTATTAAGTAAATACAATATGTTCGCGTACAGGTATATACTGGACGACATTCGAATCAACAAAGAGAGGGTTCGAGAAACCGACTTCAGAAAAGAATACATTTATATTAAATTTCTTTTGTGGATCTGTAGCTGGCAGCGTAAGTATGACATTGTTTTTAAAAGAACACTAACTTTTATGCCTGCCTGTATGTCAGTTATCGCCTTAAAAAGTAGCTCATATCCTTCCTCAAGAATTAAAATATCTCCATGCCAAAGTTCATTAGGATCGGTTCAGCGATATAGCCGTGAAAGCGTAACAGACAGACAGACAAAGTTACTTTTGCGTTTTTAATATTATTAGGGATACGTTTTTTTTATTGTTTACAAAGAGAAAAAAAATACAGGGCCTTATACAATAATAGCAACTAAAAACCAACAAGGTTTATACCTGTGCTATCTCGAGTCTGTCTAATGTATTCCTAATGTCTTGTAATATGTTTAAAGATTTTTTTTTTTGTTAGTCTTCTACACATTATACACTTTGTCGAGACCGTTTGTGGGTTTTTTATTTGGCTTCGGCTATGTTGTTTTGTGACACGTACTTTTGTGTTATTGCGTGTTTAGGCTGTCTTTTAAAAGTACATACATTACGTCGTATTCAACTGCTCCTACACTTTGTTAGGGATACAGAAAAAACCTGCTGCAAGGTAAATCTTACACATATATGTTGGTAATCTTTGTGAAATCCTACTATAACGTACGTTATTAGGTATTTATTTGAGTACTTAAATGTGTAACTGCGGTGGCAGACTCATAGGAAGTGTGGACATCCCTCAGATGAAAGAAATGATACGAAAAAAGTATAGAGTAAACCCACAAACAAAAACGCTTATCACTATGATTTATATTTTCAACAAATCGGAAGTTATCAACGATATCGCTATACACAACAAGATAAGTTTTACTGGGGGTAATATATGATTACTAGGTAGATAAATACTAGATAATATTATATACCTTATATGTAGATAACGGAAAAGTAGCACTTTGAATACTATAATTTGACCCCTTTCACAAAATAAAATATCTATCCATCTGTCTAATAATTCAATTCTTGTATATGTATATATATACAAATATATTTTCATGAAATTTAGTATGATGATCCAGCTAGGTTTCATTTTTAGAAAATTTACCAAAATTTTATCAAGTGAACGTCAAGATGTCTAATATTTTTGTTTCAGATTGCTGCACTCGTTACCCTTCCATTTGACGTAGTTAAAACACATCAACAAATCGAATTAGGAGAAAAGGAAATTTACACAGGTTGGAAACGTGCTATTAATGATTATAATTGTTTTAATTAGACAGTAATTATTGTCTCTGTTTAGCTTTTAGTAGTACACTAGGTGTTCCCCGCAGTTTTATGTCTTCATTTGAAATTTTAATGATCCTCTGTCGAATACAAAAAGGTTTTTTTTTTCAAAGCCGACTTGCAAATCTAGAGATTAGAACCTTTTAACCGTCAAATAAAAACCGTCCGCAATATTGCATTACTACAGATGACCTAAAAGAAGTCTTTGTATGTATTTCTAAAACAAAGCTTTATCAGTTTTGTATTATATTCAAATCTGTATTGACATTGTTTTGCATAGATCAAAAACCTTTCGCGTAGGCGTAAATTCCTGCATGGCATTCTGTGTTGATGTTGGGTTCGATGCCCATATAATTTATATTAATGAGGCAGGGATTTTTATAGAGTATTTTTGTCCGTTAAGGTGCGGCGCAGACGACAGGCTATTCATGTCACGCTTTTTAATCTGGAAAAGTAGAACCTATGCAGTAACGCATACGATGCGCAAAAAGTCCAGCTTATACAAAAGTGTGTACAAACAAAATAGAATGTTTGCTGCAAAGCGCGCTCACGCAGACGGCGCGCATTGCAGCAAACATTCATGAGACGGTAGCGAAAACGCCAAGCCACATATTTTTACTAAGATTTATAGCTTGTGAATTAAGGGCACTACCGTGCTCCCAGATATAGAATTGTCCTTTCAGTAATCTCTCCGGAAGTATAGGATGTACCCGAAATTCTCTATTTCTTCTCTTTTTCTGTACTTCAATCTCTGGATTTCCATAGCATCTAATAGTTGTGTCGACAGAATGATAGAAGATGTGCGTCGTATGCTTGAAGTCTGTGAAAAAGCCGCGATGGACTTTTTGCACGCCTGCGGACTTTTTGTGCGCCGCAGACTCGTTGTTTTAGTTTATAGGATGTGCAATAATTTTCTAGATATTCTGTTTGAATGAAATAAAGAAGTAGTAGTGTAAAGAATTAGAAGCTTTGCCAACTAAATAATGTCTAATAATTACTTTTGTTTTTATTGATATTGTGAACATTTCAGATGGTAAAGTTCACCAGAGGGCCGCAAATATGAAAAATATAGCACTGAACATATATAAAAACAATGGGTTCAAAGGTCTCTTTACAGGACTTCTGCCTCGAATATTTAAAGTAGCACCTGCCTGTGCGATTATGATAGCAACATTCGAATATGGAAAGCAGTTTTTCCAAAAACACAACACACAAAAATATAAGGAGAAAATGCAGAGGTAAGACCTTCAAGCTTCGGACTTAACGAATAATAACTTAGTAAAGTTTCAAATTGTACCACATACTAAGTAGGATACTTAGCTGCTTTATGTTTGATAGTTTTCTAAATGTTACTAGTTGAAGTTAAACAAACAAGTTGTTAAATATTTCTTTGCCTTTTTTGGGTAAGTCTAATTAATGTGTGAAGCAATGGGAATAAATTTTGTATTTTTTAATTAATTTAGTACTCCATTAGCTTCTGCCTGCGGGTTCGGTCGTTTTAATACAGCTTGCCTTATTATAGCATTAATCCCTCCTTGTTGACCTCGATAAATTTCACGGTGATCGGTAGATTATAGATAGATTAACAAATAAACATACTCACTTTCGCATTTAGATTATTCGTTAAGATTGGGTTGTAGTAGTATATTGAAGCGGACACTGCCTCCGCCCTAGGGCGACTTTTGCCCAATTTGGGCGGGGCGAGTGTTCCCACGAGGCGGCTGTACGCGGGGGTTGTCCGGTCCATGGCGCTTTATGGTGCACCGGTGTGGGTGGCGGCTCTGACCACCCCGAATAGGGCGCGCCCCTGGCGCCCCCAGACGATATTGGCGGTCAGAGCCATACGCGGATACCGCACGGTGTCCACCGAGGCGGCTTGCGCCTTGGCCGGAACACCCCCGTGGGATTTGGAGGCCGAGGTGCTCGCCGAAGTTTATCGGCGAGTGGCTGACTTCCGGGCGGAGAGCGGATTTCGCCCTCCGCCCGAAGACGTGCGCGAGTGGCGCGAAGCCGCTCGCCGAGCCACCATGGTCAGATGGTCGCTCCGGTTGGAGACTCCACGCGCTGGCTTCGCCGCCGTGGAGGCTCTCCAGCCGGTCATCGCTGAGTGGGCAGGGCGGCAGCACGGGACCCTTTCCTTCCGGCTGACGCAGGTGCTTTCCGGGCACGGTTGCTTCGGAAAGTACCTGTACTCGGTCGCTAGGAGGGCATCGAGTCCCGCCTGCCACCACTGCGACTGCAGTGAGGATTCGGCCCAGCACACGCTGACGGCTTGCCCCGCATGGGCGACGCAGCGCCGGGCCCTCACTGCAGTCATCGGAGCAGATCTCTCGCTACCGGCCGTAATTCGCTCCATGGCCGGTAGCGACAGTTGTTTTAACCGCGGTCGCAACCTTCTGCGAGGAGGTAATCTCGCAGAAGGAGGCGGCGGAGAAGGCCCGGGAGGACGACCTCCACTCGGACCTGATCCGCCGCCGGCGAACCGGGCGGCGGAGGCGCGCTTACCTGCGCCTCGTGCCGCCCTGGGTGTGGCCGCGGGTGGACGGGATGGGTTCTCCCCTCCACCCGCATTAGTTGGCCAGCCGCGAGGGGGGCGGCGTCCGCGTGTGCCGGACGTAAAGAGAGGGTCCACCGAGACGGAGCCCGCATCAGGAGCGGGCCGGCACTGGGAGGGGTCCAGAAGGAGATAGCTACCTGGACCCCTCCTAAACTGGAAGCGCAAAGAGGGCACACCGTGTGGTTTTAGTCGGTTCGAGTCCGACACACCGCCCCGCCGAACGAGAGCCCCGGCGGGGTGAAGGTCCGAGGGGATTTCCACACGTAAAAAAAAAAAAAAAAACAAAGTATATTGAAGCGGCTTTGTGTTTTATCAGAGTCAATAAGAAGTGGCATGTCATGACATACAATAACTAAATCGTTCGTTTAAATAGGGTGTACTTATTAGTACCTCGATTACGTCATAATGCGTTACGTCATCGTGAAGATAACGCCTTTAAGAATAACTTCACATTATTTGTGTGATAAGTTACAATTCAGTAGTTACTATTGATCAGTTCATTTTGACTCAACTAGCAGGCTGGCTGTTTTGAAATACTTATATTATAATATTGTAGACTTTTTGAAAGAGTTCCTAATTATTTCAGTCAAGGAATAGCTATCCAAATAATTAAAACTCGAGGATCCGAAGATTGATATGTCAGAATTATGTTAAGGTATATTTTCAATGAACTTGTATTTAGTAACAGTATTAGTAAATTAGTAAAAAACCTGTTGTTACATTTGCCGATTCTAGTGCAATGTGTTTGTCTGGTTAGTTACGTTAGTTAACGTCATGTGTATTATAAAAAAAAACAATTAATTTTAGATATATACTTAAATAGAAATATAATATTAATAATTAAGTAGTTATTATGTTTACTTGTCACCTAAATATATGTCTTCAGTAAGAAAAGTATAGTTCGTTAATTTTAAATGTACACTGTATTTTTTTCATGTATTTTTTTATTATTTTCTGTTTCCAGGCCCCAGGAAATAGTGCTTGTTGGACAATCGGCAAATAGTAATGATTATTCCTAATATGTGATATGAAGTACAGTAGATTTGAACAATAAATGTGAAAAAGCTGTAACAATGCAGCTAATTAAGTACCTATGTGATGGCTGTTTATTTGTTTCTCTTTACCAAATGTTAACGAAGTATAGTTATAAATACACTAAAACTATTTCTGTGAACAGTTGATGTTCTAAGTGCTTCACATTGTTGTATGGAAAGCTATTATAGTGAAAAGTATTAATTAAATTAATTAACGTATGTATACGTTAAAAAAATAAACAATGCCCGGAATCTGTCAATAAGACATAACAATAATTTAATTTTAAATCCGCTAACTCCATTTTTCAGATAGCACAACTTTTTTATCCTACTTTTTAACAAATGTTTGATACACTGATTTTAAGCAAACTTAATTTAAAAAATCTAAGGAGGCCTGTGTCCAGCAGTGGACTATTAAAGGCTGTTGACGATGATTTTGGTGAATAAAACAATTACTGGAGTTATCTGTTGTTATCTATTGTTATTAGTTAAGGTGGAGTTGGCAGAGTTACTAATGGTTAGATTCAATGCAAGTTATTGTCTTGATAAAAAAAATACTTTTTCTTTCCTCATGTAGTAGAAAACCAAAAATGTTATGTTCACCTTATCTTCGATAAGAACATAAAAAGCTGGTTTATATTATATAACATTTCCTTAGGATTTATTAAAGGTAATGTAGAATTGCCTTGTGTTTTCAAATTACTAATGATTTAGATGTTATGCTAATTAAATTCATGAACGTTTAAATTACAAATTGAATTTATATGTTGTAGACTAGTTTTTGTTTTGTCTAAAGTACAATAGTATAACAGTGAATAACAAATGAACAGTTTTTTTTGTACAATTATGCTTATGTACAGGAATTAAGTGATCATGTAATAGGTATGACATACAGCTATGTCAGCTAGCCTGTAGCCATGATAATTGGATAGTGTAGTCAATCACTAATCTGATTGAAATGCCATGCAATTCAAAGGTATTTAAGATATGATTGCATTAATTCCCATCCAAATACATAATGACGAATACATTCAGCGCGTATGGATGGATGCGTACATAGTATGGATGGATGCGTACGTGTATGAATGTGTTATTATATCTTAGTTCAACTGCCAGAGGCCAGTGTATATCTGGTTATACACCGCGCCGATCATACTGTATATGGACTTTGTGGGCCTTGCCCTCACAAATCGTTTGGTGTATCTGGGGTATGAAAATGTGATATGGATTAGTTGTGTGATTTGATCCAATGAAACTATTAAAATTTAGAGTTTCATATAAGCATTAAGCACATAGGACCAGGAGATGTCATGTATGCAAAAATTATGTTATACCTACATTTGAATCCTCCATTGTGCTTTGGCACCGAACGTGTCAAGGAATGACAAAGTTTAAAAGTAACTATAAATAATATCATATCAAACTGCATCAATTTATAACTGCTTGTTTCCAAATAGGAGAAGAAGTAGGGCAAACAATCTCGCTGATTCGAGTAGATAAGTTAGTTATTATTATTAAATGTAATGTAAACCAGCTCAAATACAAATTAAGAACTGTTTAAATACATGTAGGTACTACGAGTATTTATACATATATGTAGTTAAACATTCATATTTTTAATGAAATATGAGGTAAGTTGTAATGCAGTTTTTTTTAACATCTAAATAAATGCATATCAGAAATATTACTATGATTTTGCAATGAAATTATGTATGTGCTATTGAAGTGACTACGGGGAGGACTTGACTAGTCCCTAGAGGATGACAAATAAATTGAATCAGATTTAATATCTTCATTGTTTTTTTTTTAATAACATATAATTGACTTATTAAAGTACTCCACCTAGACTTAATGCTATGTATTATTGGAAATGTGTACATAATAAATTATAATATAAATATTTGAAAATTATTTTGTAAATAGTGGAATAAAGTTTTATGTTGTATATAAGTGGTTAACTTTTTTCTCAAACATTGAAATGTAATTTTAATTTTATTCTTTTTTAATCAGTTGGAACAAATTAAATAAGTTCCTTAATAACCTATGCCAATATAAAAATGTGGAAGTAACTCTATCTGTATGTCTTACCTTCACAACTACTGAAATATTCAGCATGAAATTTAGTATGCACATTATTTGGGGTAAGAGAAGTAGAGAGCACTAGTACAAGTTTCTAATTTTAGTTTGTTTTAATTATGCTTAAAAGCAAAAATTTCATATAAGAAAAAAATTGGTATGCCTATGCTCAAAATAAATATATAATATTTAATTATTCTATAGTGACAAATATTAATTAAGAGTCCATCATTTTACGACAGTAAGGCATGTAGTCATATCTAAAATATCTGAATATCCTTCATAAAATATCTGACTTGTAAAAATATCTGAAAATATTTACATACTTACAGAAATAACTATATATCATTTAAAAGAAAATGGAAAATCTTGATAAGTCTTGATATTAAAGAGAAAAGTTCAGTATAAATTGTGCTAAAAATAATGTTAAATGCACTACATAGCTTGTCATAATGTGTGTTACTTGTAAAAAGGTATAATTTCTTGTATAACATATTGTTGCTGAAGTTCCAACACTGCAGAAGTAGGTTTTTTGGCAAAATAAATTTAGAATATCATTTAATTAACAAAAAAACAAATGCTGAAATACCTATTTGATAAATCAAACATTGATTTTCAATCATGTATTATAATTTTTACATACAACAACTTTCAAACAGCTGTTTGATGAAAAAAGTGGACAAATTCTTTTACCTCCTAAAAAGTTGCACATTTGGACATCCAGTGTTAGTATTATTGGCTTAGTAAACTGTATGCTTCTGACTGGCTAAGTGTTGAGGTCCTTATAGTGACGGATTAAGTATATGAAGTGTCACCACCCCTATTCATCCCATGGTGTTGTAGGACTTGTAGGAGCAGACTATGCAGGACAACAGCACTGCAAAGAGAAGAAAAACTTGACACAAACCCTATACCAATGCATCTGGCTAGCATGGTATAGTAGGTCAAAACCTCTTTTCTAAGGAAAGGCCTATGTCCAGCAGTAGACTATTTAGGGCTGTCGATGATGATGGTGAGGTACTACTTACCATTACAGCAACATTTTAACGATAATGATTACAATAGAAACGACATAGTAGTTCAATTAACTTATTTATTACATAGCCTTATACGCGATTAATGTACAATAGATCCTAGAGGCTCAGCTTTTATATTACCAAGGTCTAATCTGCTGTCAATTGATTCATCTATTTGGCCCACTATTGCAACGTTGTCACCTCGAATTATATGCAGTCCAAGAACCACCTGCGCCACACCAGTCGATGAAGAGAAAACACGTTCGTGCGATTCATCCAATATTATGTTTATAGTCTGGTCAAAACCTTTTAGAGTACCAATAAAGTTTCGACCGTCTGAGGTTATAACGGACACTGTTTGATTCACATAATTCTCTAGACCCGACGCCATAGCTTGAGACCAGAATGGCGATAGCTGAAAACAACTGTCGACTTAAACAAATATGCAAAACTTTGGAAAGATGCACCTTAATTAATTTTTAGAAGCAACATCTAGCTGTCAAGAATCGAGTCAAAACAAATAAAGTGCTGCCAACTTTTGAATACGTTTTTGCCCAGATTTAAAATTATTTTGGATACTATGTAATCGATTTTAATTTAAATTAAAACTAAATTAAAATGTAGGTAGAAATTGTAATTATAAAACTCAGTTTTCTTGTACAATAATGACGGATTGTACTTCGACGACTTCTCCCAACCTAAATCAAATCCATCCAATCTAAATCTACGTAGCATTTAAACAATATCTTGTTGAAAATTAAAGAGCCCAGTGTACAATGGCTCCTGCTGGTCCACGGCAAGCCATCGCCATGGTGTATACGAGGCAATGGTATACAGTGGCTGACGATTTTTGGTGGTTTGGTTTTTGGACACACTAAAGGAATTTATGGAATATAAATTAGAGTAACTGTTTCTGTAAAACCATGGAATTATGATAATTTATTGAAGTGATAGCTTCTTATGGGAGGGTAAACCGCTTCGTTACGTAACGCGTTACGGCCCCAGTCTGTCTGGCTTCCCTTTCTCCCACGCATACGGCAGCGGGAGGCAGGCTCCTATTCTCTTACTCTAACCCACAGCCAGCCGTACCTATTTCTAACCCAGCCGTATTTCAAACAGACACTTTACATAAAATTTAAGTAATTACCTAAGATTTTCTCAAGTCAAACCATTTCAACTCAGACTCCTGTCGGGTGTCCCGAGACGCACACGTTTTTTATTTTATCGCGAGATGTACAACTCTTAATGTCTAAATTTAAATCTTTGAAACAGCAAAATAACCAATTAACACACAATAGATGTTTTTTTTCCAAACTTCGTTTTAAAGTCACGTGGTTAGGTCATGTACTGTAGTGTTTCGATTTTGCCTACGAAGTTTTTTTAAAGTATTTTACTTACATCCTTTTAATTTTAATTATGCGTTTACATTGACAGTTGGATTTCAGATGAATTTTAAGTACAATCATACATTTTAAGACGTCCGGAATGAAAATTACTAGTTATTAAAAAATCCGATTTTTTATACATTTTAACCATTACTCGTTAAAGGACCCTACGTTAAAGGACCTAACTACGTGTCTTTGAAATGAAGTTTGAAAAAAAAAACATCTCTTGTGTATAAATCGGTTATTTTGCTTTATTTCAAAGATTTAAATTTAGTCATTAAGAATTATATATCTTGCAACAAAATAAAAAAGAGATACATAACTCCATAGTTTTACGGAAAAGGTTGTTGAAATTGTGAGTACCGCCTATACAAAGTTGTTTCGTCTTGAAAAGTATGAAACGTCAAAGTCAAACGGTACCTCTTAGATTAGATGGACTACAAGTCGCTGAATGAACAGTTCATATTGTTCGTACAATGTCGAACACTCTCGTCCAATATATTTTGCTACGAACAGATTTACTAAAGGAACTAGGGTGGTCAATAGGAGCAGTTGTAGCCCAGGCATGCCACGCATCCACAGCTGTTCTCCACTTAAACAAAGATGATGAGTACACTGTAAAGTATTTAAATGATATGGATAATATGCATAAAGTGGTCTTAGAGGTAGGTTAAATGAACAGATCATATGGTAGGGACTCATATTGTTGTATAGTGTATCATATGGTGATCATATGGTATTTACTGCTTTTCATTGCCTTAAAATGATGCTGCACTGATTGAACGGAACAGAAACCGATGGTAGCGTAATAATATTATTTAAAGTGTACTTACTTGTGTATTTGCTTTAATTGATAATTAAATGAGTACGTTTTATTGTACACGAAGATAGATACTTATGTTCAACTTTTTTATAAGAGCTATGACTTTCAGAAGCATTTTATTCCTTTTGGCATAGTACTTCACCTCATGAATGCAATGTTAAGTTTTTATGCAGACACTTGTTTGACTTGAGTGGAGCAAACCCAAAATCTCTGCTCAGTATTTAGGGTAACTAAGCACTAGACCAACGGGCGGTTTGAAATCAATTTATACAAAATACCAAAAAAAGGTAACTATCGCTTATAAGAAAACTTATCTCTTATTTTTAATTGACTTTAAAAATGATTTGATTTGAGATCTAACTGAATAAATGCTGCCTCTAAATTAGAAAAAACTATTCAACCTAAGGGTTGAAAAATTTAGTGATTTGACACTTGTAGTACTCGTATGACAGATGTTTATATATATACATATTTGTCAAATGTTACAGGTGCCTGACGAGGGAGCATTAATTAAAGTAGCAGCAAAGCTAAAAGAAAATTCAATAGCGCACAAATTATGGATTGAACAGCCAGAAAATATACCTACTTGTTTAGCTATTAAACCTTACCCTAAAGATGAGGTTAAGAAATATGTTGGAAAATTTAAACTACTTAAACTGCAAATGAGTTCTACTGACTAAAATTTGCTACAAGTTTTAGTTAGTCTGAATAAAATGTAATTTATTTTTTAATCTTGTAATATTAAGATATAATAAATTTTATACCATACCATATTTTGATGCTTGGTTATTTATTATTTTACACTAATTGAGTTTGAATTAAGTCAATAGGAAAAACATTTGTGTTAAAGCTTAGGTTAGTATTGTTTATTTATTTTTTATGGAAGAAGGGGCAAACGAGCAGAGGGTTTACCTGATGGAAAGCTACTACCGCCACTCATAAACGCCTGCAACTCAAGTCACAAGCATGTTGCCGGCTTTGAGGAAGGAGTACGATCTTTTCTTGAAGGTTTGGAGGTCGTATCGGTTCGGAAATACCGCAGACGATAACTTGTTCCACAAATTGGTTGTGCGAGGCAAAAAATGTCTTGAAAAGCGCACAGTGGTGGAGTGCCAATTATCCAAGTGGTGAGGATGAAATTTTTTCCGTGTGTCACGATGGCGGAAACTTGCGGCTGGTATTAGTCTGAACAATTCCTCGGAGCACTCTCCGTGATACATACGATAGAGAATGCAGAGAGCTGCATCTCTAACCCTAACGCCAAGGAATCGAGCCGGTCGGTGATCTTTTGGCTTTCCTCTCGAACCGAGGCGATACGATAAATGGTATCTTTTTGTGGTGAATGTGCAAACCTGTCTTTTTTAGGTAGAAATGGAGTAGATTCCGCTAAGGAAATTTCAATTTCAGATACAAGTTCCAAACAATGGACGATTTCCCGGGAAATATTGGGGCGACCGGTATAAAGGCATCTTCCGTGCTATCATCTGTATAGCAATGGATGCTACTAATTTGCAACATATCATTGATATGCAGAAGAAACAGTGTGGGTGATAGCACAGCCTTACGGGACACCAGCATTTACAGATTTCAAGTTGGAGCATGCACAGTCGATAACGACCTTAATGCTTCTGTCTGCAAAGAAACTGGTGACCCAGTTACATTATTTCTGGGAACCATGAGAACGGAGCCTTCGCTATGTCCAAGCTTACCGCACATGCCTCTCCCTTGGTGTCGATCGCCTGTGCCCACCGCACAGTGATTCGTTGTAAACATGCTAGCTGGACCAAAGTCATTGTTCAATTTTTCTGGAATTTATTACCTAAGCCCCTAGCCGATAAGTATGGTGTCGTCTCAATGGTGCAGATGAGACCATACTATCAATGCGGTTTCGTTTTCACCATTAATGGTGCAGACCAAACTAATTAGTCTCCTCTGCACGAATGATGGTGCAGGTCAATAGTGCATGCTAGTTAGTACTTGGGGTTTTTTTTTGTAGCAGAAGAAAACAAGGAAAAGGGTTTCATTATTTAAAAATTAAGGTATAAAAAAGTCTAATCAAAGTCTATCCATTTAATAGTTTAAATTAAACAGTACATACCTTTAACTTAACGATCCATCGCTAATATTAAAAATTAAAATAATTAAAAATGCAATAAATAACTCATTTTCTAACCTAACTTTCTTTTCATTCTATTCTCTTTACGTTATAGTAGTAATATTATCAGCGCAAAAAAAAATGGAATTGAGACAGTGGTGAGTCCTGCTATTTTGGAAAAAAACTATTAGGTACCTACAATATTGCATAAAATACTTTCATTTCATTATATACTCGTAGGCAAGTACCTATAATATTAATAAAAATAATGTAACATCGTGTAGTAATTAAAGAAAAAAACTCAGCAGTTCCTTTCATCATAATTGTAAATGTGTCGATCGGTCTGGCCCTTAATTATTTTTTTTATCTTAGCATGATTTATGAATGTTTCATACATTACTACTTACATACTTAAAATAAAAAAAAAAACACTAAATATTGATACATATTTGATTGAAAAAATAAATAAAATCTAAATCTTTCTAAGTACTTAAACAGTTGGTTGACGAAAACGTTTATTGAAATACTAAAACTCACTTAGTCTAAATTTAACTCGACTTCGAAATTAGACTGACCCAAAAAACCTTCTAGATCACCTCTATGTTTTCCCTTCTGACAAGTTTTACTTGCATAAAAATCATGTGAATCTTTCTCTGCGTCTATCGTTTTATGTTCTTTACTGACTTCAGCGATACTAATAATTTTTTTGTGAAGAGTCTCATAATTATTACAAATAACACAGCAGTTCACGGGGATATTTAAAATCATGATAAAAACAAGAACACAAAAATATTTTTTGTTAATTTGATAATAAAGTTCTGGCCACCACACGAATACTCGTAGCACCATAAAATAAAATGTTTTTAATGCTTTTGCTTCATATTTTTTGATAATGCTCTGTGTACTCTCAAAAACTTAGCTCCTATTTTTTCGACGGCTTATACGATATCCGATAATGAATATTGCTCTTAAAAATTACATTAAACAATATGACGAAGATAAGATTAAAAAGTACGAACTTTAATTCAACCACTTCATTTTATTCCTTGACCTATTATAATAGTAAAAACACATAGGTATCATTATCCCTACAATTATTTTAAAACTTCGATTGTATAACCATTATTCATCAATCGATCGACTAGGTCAGTTTTATGAAAAGCAGCACCTGGCATGAGCACTCCTCCTCTGAAAAAAATTAACCAGTAAATACATATTTGAGGAAATAGCTCACGGAAACTTTATTTTAAAAGTTCAATAGACTCACTTTGGTATATTCGAGCTTTCTTTTATAATGGTGATAGCACTCATAATAACAGCTATAGCTGTTGAATCGTAAGGGGTCCCTTCCTGATACCTGCAAAAACAAAAGATGTTACAAAAAAAAAATTTGTGCATGAATTATTTGCTGATTCCATTTGTTTATTTTATTGCATGTAAGCATATTATCTTATGTTCTTGTAGAGAATAATTGTTTAACAAAATGAAAGGGGTAATCAGTTTTTTGCTTTCAACAATTTATATAAATGATTTTTTCATCTTTACATAATTAGTACAAAATGAAGTCGTTTCCCGTTCTTCTACGCTTAGTTCTTTCAAACTACGCAACGGATTTTATTGCGGTTTTCTTCAATAGAGAGAGTGATTCAAGAAGAAGGTGTATTTCACATCAACAGCCTTTAATAGTCCACTGATGGACATAAGCCTCTCCTTGGAAAGGAGGTTTTGGCCTACTATACCACGCTGCCCAGACGGGTGGTATAGGGTTTTTCAAGTTTCCAGACTGAACCGGGACCTACTAGAGGAGGCAAGCCATAATTCACTCGTGGCTGTCTCCTCAGGCTCCGACCCGAGGAGGTCGACGTGGGGGCTGGTCGCTTTCGCGATGCGATTACGCATGTCTGCGATGCGGCCATGTCCCGCATTCGAGGTCGTCGGCCTCCAAGGAAGGAGGTCTACTGGTGGTCCCAGGAGCTGGCGGACCTCCGTGCGGCCTGTACACGCGCCCGGAGGTCCTACACGCGCAGTCGGCGGCGTCACCGTGGAGACGGTGAAGAGGACCGGCTTCATGAGGAGTACCGAGAGGCGCGGAAAACTCTGAAGCTGGCCATTAGCCGCGCCAAAGAGATAAAGAGAAAGGAGATGCTGGAGGGTCTCGATCGTGACCCCTGGGGTCGCCCTTATCGCGCGGTGCGACAAAAGCTCCGTGCGTCGGCCCCCCCCCCCTTACGGAGACTCTCCAGCCCAGCTTCCTGCGAGAAGTGGTTGAGGGCCTTTTCCCGCAACGAGCGGAACATACTCCCCCGGCGATGGCCTCCTTGGCCGGAGACGACGGGGAGCACGAGGAGGATGATGTTCCGCCCGTCCGGGATTCGGAGGTAGGGGGCGGCTGTTCTTACGGATCCGTTCCAAGAACACCGCCCCTGGGCCAGACGGGGGTACCGGCCCGAGTGCTGGCCCTAGCCCTCAACCACATGGCAGACCGCCCTCGGGGGAGGTGTTCGACGCTAGCTTGGCGTCGGGACGTTTCCCTGAGTGCTGGAAGAGCGGGGAAGCTGGTCCTATTAAGGAAGCCGGGACGGCCTGCCGATTCGGTCGCGGGCCTACAGGCCCATCGTGCTGCTGGACGAGGCGGGTAAATTGTTTGAGAGGGTTCTCTCTGCCCGCATCGTCCGGCACCTCTACGAGGTGGGCCCCGATCTGTCGGACGCCCAATTTGGTTTTCGGGCGGGCGATTCGACAGTCGACGCTGTGTTGCGCCTGAGGGCCGTGACCGAAGAGGCCGTGAGCTGTGGCGGCGTGCTGTTGGCGGTGTCATTGGACATCGCCAACGCATTCAATAGTCTGCCATTCAGCTGCATCAGGGAAGCACTCCACTATCATGGGGTGCCAAAGTACCTGAGGCGGCTAGTGGCAGACTATTTAGAGGAGCGTCCGTCGTGTACGAGGACCGAGAGGGTAATTTGAGGTGTCGGCCCATGTCGTACGGTGTTCCACAGGGGTCTGTTCTTGGACCCCTCTTGTGGAACATAGGGGTACGACTGGGCCCTTCGAGGCCGATTTCCCCCCCGGGCTGGGCTGTAATTTGTTACGCAGATGACACTTTGGTGACAGCCCAGGGGGTGAACTTCCAAGAGGCGGCGCGCCTGGCCACAAGGGGAGTCTCCCTGGTGGTCAAGCGCATTGAGGCGATGGGCTCTTGCGGGTGGCCCTAGATAAGACGGAGGCCCTGTTATTTTCATGGGCCCCGTCGTGGTCCACCCCCTGGCGCCTCAATCGTGGTCAACTCGGTCCTCGTACCGGTGATGAAATATCTGGGCGAGGATGTGCGCGAGTGGCGCGAAGCCGCTCGCCGAGGTACGATGGCTCGTTGGTCGATCCGGCTGGAGACTCCACGCGCTGGCTTCGCCGCCGTGGAGGCTCTCCAGCCGGTCATCGCCGAGTGGGCAGGGCGGCAGCTCGGGACCCTTACATTCCGGCTGACGAAGGTGCTTTCCGGGCACGGTTGCTTCGGAAAGTACCTGCACTCGGTCGCTAGGAGGGAACTGAGTCCCGCCTGCCACCACTGCGACTGCAGTGAGGACTCGGCCCAGCACACGCTGGCGGTCTGCCCCGAATGGGCGACGCAGCGCCGGGCCCTCACTGCAGTCATCGGAGTGGATCTCTCGCTACGGCCGTAGTACGCTCCATGGCCGGTAGCGACAGTTGTTTTACCGCGGTCGCAACCTTCTGCGAGACGACGCGCGGAGCTTTTGTCGCACCGCGCGATAAGGGCGACCCCAAGGATCACGATCGAGACCCTCCAGCATCTCCTTTCTCTTTATTTCTTTGGCGCGGCTAATGGCCAGCTTCAGAGTTTTCCGCGCCTCTCGGTACTCCTCATGAAGCCGGTCCTCCTCACCGTCTCCACGGTGATGCCGCCGACTGCGCGTGTAGGACCTCCGGGCACGTGTACAGGCCGCACGGAGGTCCGCCAGCTCCTGGGACCACCAGTAGACCTCCTTCCTTGGAGGCCGACGACCTTGAATGCGGGGCATGGCCGCATCGCAGACATGCGTAATCGCATCGCGAAAGCGACCAGCCCCCACGTCGACCTCCTCGGTCGGGGCCCGAGGAGACAGCCACGAGTGAATTATGGCTGCCTCCTCTAGTAGGTCCCGGTTCAGTCTGGCAACAGCCCACCGCGGAAAGCGGGATAGACGCCGCGCCACGTGACCCCTCTACTGGAGTCCTGGGTCCGGGAGAGCTCAAATCGGATATAAAGATGATCCGAGAGCGTCTCAACCTCTTCCAGGACACGCCAGTTCCTTACTCGTGCGGCGAGGGCAGGGGTAGCGAACGAAAGGTCCACTATCGACCCCCCCTGCTGTCGCACGCACGTGTTGGTGGAGCCTCTGTTGAGAAGAGGCCCACCGAGGCCGCCCACTCCTCTACGGCCTCGCCCCTTGCGTCCGTCCCGGGGAACCCCACGCAGTGGATTTTGCGTTGAAGTCCCCCAGAACAAGGACGTGCCCAGACGCTAGTCGCCGCATCGAGGTCTCCAGGTTGTTGAGAAAAACCTCGAAGTCGCTCAAACTCCGGTTGGGGGAGAAATAAACACCATATATGGTGATCCCCCCCCACTCGGCGGCAACATATCCAGTGCCCTTGTCTTTTAGCGACAAGGGCGGGGAATGAGCCGCCGTGGAACCGACTACTGCCACGGAGCCGTCCCAGTCACCCATCCAGTTTGGACGGGGAGGGACAAAATAGGGCTCAATCATATCGACCACTGTGCCATGGTTTGCAGGAAGAGATCCTGCGCCGCGGCACAGTGGTTTAGGTTCATCTGGACCAGGAGGCTGGAGACCCGATCCATTACTGGATCGTCTCTACAGCCTCCTCCATGGGCGACGACGTCGGACGCACGAACTACATCGGAGGCAGCCTGGGTCGACTTGCTAGCCCCCGATGCTTGCTGAGAGTTGCGGGGAGGCTTGCAGCCCTGCCCCATCTGGTGATTGGCGGGCTTGTTACCCGCCGCACACACCGGGCATCACTGCCCGGTGTGTGCGGCGGGTAACAAGCCCGCCAATGTGGCGGTGGAATGCACTGCAGCCCCTCACGGGGCTGCAGTGCATTCCACCGCCACATGCCCCGGTCGACCACAGCGGAAACATAGTCCGCTGCAGTCGAAGCAGCTTTGGCACTTGACGCGCGTGTGCCCCGATGCTAGGCATTTATAACACCTCATCGGTCTCGTCGCCAGGACTGTGATCCTAGCGCTCACGAAACCGATGAGCAGCCTGCCGGCGTCGGCCAATACTTTGGCCGACGCTACGGGACAGCTGACCCACACGGCGCCAAGCCCCCCCTGGACCGGGGCGGATGGTGCCGACCCTGACGTTGTCCGCGCCTGCACCCCGTCTTCTCCCGGATTACAGCGCGGACATCTTCGGCCGTCACAGAGTCGTCCAGGCCCGAGATGCGCAGCTCCGCGCACTTGGTAGGCCTGGCGACCCTGACACCATCTGTTGGTCGCGAATATACCCCGCAGCCTCTCAGAGCCGGGAGCCTGGGGTGCATTTCCCCCCACCGGCTCCCGAACCTTGAGCAGGAGATCCGCGATCTCCTCCTCCGCTACGGCCTCGCCATCCACTCGTACACTCCTGTACGACTCCGCGTTTGAGAACGCGGAGCCTGACGGGGTCGAGACCGAGGCCGGTTTGCGTGCCCTCCCTCGGCGGCTGCTTGCCACCTTTGGTGGCATCATCTCCTGGGACGTGTCGGTTTCCTCGTCCCTGGAGCGTCCGCGTTTCCGGCTGTCGCTTCGCTCCGCCTCCATGGCCTCCGCGCCATCCGACGAAACGGCGGATCCGGAACGCAGCCGATCTGATGCTCTTCGGCTCCCAGAGACCAGCGTCAGACTGACTTCTGGGAGCCCCACCGAAACTTGACACAAACCCTACACCAACCCGTCTGGCCAGCGTGGTATAGTAGGCCAATACCTTCTTTATAAGGAGAGGCTTATGTCCAGCAGTGGACTATTATAGGCTGTTGATGTGATGATGATATTATAGCAGAAAAAAGCCGAGAATTTCAGAGATTTTGTAATGTGATGTAAAAAACAAGATTTTTGTGCGTTTACATCGCTCAGCATACAAAAAAAAACGGTTGAATTGTGAACCTCCTCCTTTGTGTTTTTGAAGTCGGTTGGAAACTAAAATAATAATAAGCTGTACTTCAAGAAATGTTTTTAAATTTTCATCACGTAAAAAACGAGTGTAAGTTAGGGTGGGGGTTGTCCAAGTGCCTCACCTTCCCCTACTGTGGGTACACCCATGAATGTAATAGGTATGCGTAATAATAATAAAAGCAAAAGCTGAAAAAGATAAACAGGTAAAGTATTTCGATTTGGCCCACAAGATTGTCGAAATGTGGGATGTTGATTCGGCAATCGTTGTACCGATAGTCATATTGGCCCATGGATTAGTTGCTAAGAGCCTCGACCAACATCTTCAGAGGCTCGCATTAGGCAGTTGGATTAAGGGCCTGATGCAGAAAGCAGTTCTCCTCGATACGGCACGTATTGTGAGAAAGTTTCTGTCGTTGGAGTCCTAACCACCGATATCTTGGTCCCTGTACCTGATACCGATGAGACACTATTTTTTTTATATTTTTAAATGTAGTTTTTTTGTTTTTGTATATAAATATATTTAAAATGTAATTTATATGTATATTTAATGAAATAAAGAGGATAATATAAGTAATATTGTGAATTCAATGTAATGTTAGGTCTATTTAAGTATACATAAAACATTGATATCCGACTTCAAAAGGAGGAGGTTATCAATTCGGATGTTTATATTTGCATAACACTGTTACAAATAGACGAATTTTTAAATTATTTTTTGTTCGAAAGGGGTTTATTCCGAAATGGTCGCATTTAAATTTCATATAAATCTGATGATGAGTTTTGGAGATAGACAACGGAACTCTTCAAAAAATGAAAGCAAATCAACCGCTTAAAATAAGGAAGGGAAGATTTCACGTCCATCGGGATCAATTGTCATGGATACATAAAGCAGCGTCCACACTATGCCGGGCGAGGCCGAGCGGGCTGACCCGGGCGGCCTAAGCCGGGTTGGTGTGGACGCCCCGGGCGGCTTAAAAAGCCGGCCCGAGCCGAGCCGATCCCAACCCGCAGAAAGTAGGTACAGATCAAAGGATGCCGGCCCGAGCCGAACGAAAATATGTAGTGGGGGACGTGCCGAGCGGCACCCGGGCGGCTTTAGTTGTCCAGTCTTGGTGTCGAATTGAAACTAATAGGTTGATATAACCCGGGCGGCCTCGTTTTCGGTGTGGACGTCGTGCCGGCCCGAACGAACCCGCCCGGCTTAGGCCGCCCGGGTCAGCCCGCCCGGCCTCGCCCGGCATACTCCGGCATAGTGTGGACGCTGCTTAAGAAAGAAACATACATTTAAAGCGGGTTATGAAAATAAAATATTTTTAATATCTTCATACCTTAACTGACATTGTTTTCGTTGGTTCACAATTCTGATCACCTGCTTCCCATCCTACCCCATTTAAAAGAAATCTAAATTTCAATTTTTTGTGTCATTTCATTTGTAGGTCCCTTCTCTGATATGAAACCAAATGTGAAGACTCGTGGATAATTTATTAACAATTTGGCAAAACACTTAAAATTGCACAAGTAGTAGTAAATATACATTCCCAGGATTATAAAAAAAGTAGTACCACTTTTCAAAGGTGGTGTATGCATTGAAATGAATTGGCTTCTTTCCACTTTCTTCATATAAATGTTGCTGAGACATTTGCACGGTATCGTTTTCTACTCCAGGCCATGGAAACCATAGTTGGCCGTTGTTGTGGAAGAAAAATGGTCTGGAACAAATTGATGTGTGAATCTTTTAACATATTGGTGGTCATGGACTCTCGTGATAAATACATATTATAATCTGATGCCTCACCACATATTTACCACGAAATTATACCACCTGGTAAGAGAATTCGAAAATGAATGATGAAAAATTCAAATTATTTATTACGGCTCTAGAGAACATCCTCAAGAGGTTGGAATGACGCAACAAAGGTACAGCGGTCGATGGAGGGAGCATCAATAACCTAAGATTCGTAGATGACATCGCACTGGTGGCCGATAGCGTCAATGATAAGCTTTCCATGATAGAAGACCTACGGAGAAATGATGGATGATGTTCAGTCAAGACCGGTCTGAAAATATACGTGGCAAAAAGAAGAGCTTCACAAAAATCATTGTGGTACATAATCAGCATTTGCCCGTCGAAAGATCACTCGACACTTCGTCGATCACTACATCTACGTAGGGCATAAGTTAAGTCTAGGGTAGGGTCTAGGGCATTAGTTAAGAGTGCCAGGTGGTGGTGGAGAGAAGCATGTCTCAACCATGGGCAGCTTTCGGAATTAACAGTTCAATTTTCGCTCGAAAAAATCGCGCAACTACTGAAAACCAATTTATTACCAATGTGTCCTGCCTGTATTTACGGAGACAGAAACAGAAACGAGTGGATCAGAGAAAAGACAAAAGTCGTAGATGTTGTACAAGAAATCCAACGCTGCAAATGAAAGTGGTGATGACGCATTGCTAGACTGGCAAAAACACTCGTGATGGAATGATGAAAAAAAATGGATGTTGGTTCCCCTTCTTAACGTAGGTACAGAACAACTACGCTGCGAAGGTGAAATATATTTTTCTATATAATTGTAAGAGTACGATCGTTTCCGAGAACACAAACCGTAAAAAACATATGATCGTTCTTAAAACACATGTCAGATTCTAGACATAAATAATTACCTATTTTTAAACTCTCCCATCAAGAGTTTGTTTTGTTATGCTTGATTATTTATCCGTGTAGTGACGAATTAAGAATACTCAGTGTCACCACTCCTATTCATCCCATGGGTGTCGTAAGAGGTGACTAAGGCAGCAAACTAGGCACGACAACAGCACTGCGAAGGAAGAAAATTTGAAACAAACTGTATACCAAACTGTTCTAGCCAGCGTGGTATAGTAGTCCAAATCCTCTTTTCTAAGACGAGACCTAGGTCCAGCAGTGGATTATTAAAGGCTGTTGCTGATAATGATATAATTTGAAAGTGACGCTAAAATGGAACTGAGTATAAATTCAGTATTAGTTACATACCTTTTAATTTTTTCCGCTTTTGGTTCTTTTGATTTCGGTAAAATTTCCTTTTTTAACGATAAAGACTCCTTCAAAGTCAACAAAACGTGAACGCATGACGTCCACGTGCCACTATGACCCAGTGGTTCGATTGGTAGGCTCGTCGGTGAGAAATGTTCGACATAGCATTCTACTGAATGTAGGGTACCTTATGCGTAATATTTTATTAACATCATTAATTTCTGCCAAAATTATGAATAAAAAATTTCTAAGGAGGTTTTAGATTATTTTTTTTTACCTTTAAACTTTTTGTCTAAGTGTATCATGCCGGCCTCTATGGGTATACTTGAAAAACCGCAGGATGGTATCACCAGTACATTTGCATTTTTGGCTGGTTTATTGTAGCTACGGTATAGGCTTAGAATATGCTGGAAACGTAGAAAATATCCATAATACATGCTCTGATATTTATACCAGCTTAATTCATTGCTGTATTTAATGTTCAATGTTTATTTAAATGACAAGACGAAATAGACCTGTCATTTGATATATTTCTGTTTTATGTCACAAATCAACAAACTTCGGTCGAGCAGGCCCATATTAATAACATAAAACTTAAAACTTACAAATATTTCGGACGATATGTCGACGTAATGCGTTCTTGTTTCGATACAACCTTTTTACGATCTTTGGGCTTAGGATAATATTGACGCCTGTACAATTTATAACAACTTTGGTAACCCTCGTCATGTTCTTTAAAGATTCTTCATTGTCAACGTCACATTCTATGACCGGTACGTTCTTAATATCAAGACCTGAAAAAGATATGTGAGTTTGTGATTGTTGAGGACCTTCCCGTTAGCTTGTTAATTCTATTCCTTGTTTTTTTGTTTTTTTCCTTTACAGCTTTGTTTTTCAAATTTAAGATTAATTTGGTTTGATTTTAGTTATTTCCTGTTGTGGTGAAAGAATAGTAGATATTTGTATATTTGTACGTAATGTATATAAATAAAGCTGATAAAGTGAAGCACAGGACCGGTTGTTGTAGCGAACCCTGGGGGGAGGTCTACGTTCAGCAGTGAACGTCTTTCGGCTGAGCATTGTAGGGATAAACGAGTCCTTGAGTGCAGCCTGCGTCTAGGCAAACATAGTGTAGGACGCCCAGAGGCCAGGTGGAGTGACGATTTGCGCAAGATGGCTGGCAAATGGAAAATCGATCGAAATGGGAAAGGCCTATTTCCAGCAGTGGACTGCGTTAGGCTGATGATGATGATGATTGCAGAGATTCTCAGTTGTGCTTAGTTAATAAGTAATTAATTTTTTATTCTCATCTCATCATTCTCATAACAAGTATGACTGTCTGGAATTATCAAATAGATTATGTTACATCGTCCCCAGAACAGTCATGCGAAGGCAGGTTTGCCCACAAGGTCTGTTAGCGATTACGCCTTATCATGTTCCTAAAACAAACGCAGGCTTAAGAACACCTCTACGACGGCTAGTAGACAATTACAATACCTATTTTAACAGTACGGATATCTTCATGCATTCAGCAATCAAATATAAAAAAATTGTAATAGAATCCTTAAATGATATGACTGCTTCCAGATCGGGTTCCGAATTTTCATAATTATTTATTATTTTAATTTATGCCTAATTTAGACATATATCGTATTTCTACATTTCTCTTGTGCAAATACAATTAATAATTCAGGTTTATCTATAACAAATTATTTGATTATTATTATTTTAATCACGTAGGATGCACCATTTTATTATAAATAACATTGTGTATACTAATAAGTGAATAATGCTGTTGGTAGTACAATTAGCACATTTGTACCTAATAATAACATTTACTATTATTGAATATTGTACTATTGTTTGTTATCCCAAATAAATAAATAAACCAATCTTAAATATTGACTCAAATTTCGATAGTTATTCATTGACTTTTTTTTAAATGAAACTAAATCCTTTACGTTACAGTAATAAAATAAATTATAAGTTGCTCACCTGTATTACGTATGTCTCTCACCAAATTTTCTAGTTTTTCCTTTGAACGTCCTGCAATACCCCATGTGACATCTAAGTACTTCTCCTTTGTTAAAAGAGCCAACTGTCGTACAGTAAATTTCCCTGTGAAACCCGTCGCACCAAAAACTAGGATATCAACACGTGTTTTCATTTTTAATTAGAAACGCGTTTTTGGGTTAAGTTTCACGGTCGTCTTTGTTTTATATTTCTTTGAAACACCTTAATTTATAGTACAGATAGACGGGGAGCTGGATAGATTTGAGTGCAAAATATGTGGACAGCGCTCTGTGCATAGTTTTTAACTCGGAAAAGCTTGCAGATTAGGACCCGTATTATAAAAGATGTCTCAGTCGTGAATCTAGTCTTAAAACTAATTTTAACTAGATTTTATTATTGAAAGACACTTAAAATGAGATTTACCGATCCATACCCAAGTGAGTGAAAGGTTATTTTAGAACGATGTTTATGTCGAAATCATTACTCAGGTACAGATTTTGACAGCTGTGATCTTTTTTTACGTGGGACAAGCTGAAACTAGTCTCAAGCCATGGTTTTTAGGGCATTTTAGGGAAAATGAATGATGGGTACCAGGGACTTCCTTTCTAGGGTATAACCTGGTTCCCCGGCTATTAGTACCCGAGACGGCGTGCGGTTTTAGTCGATTCGAGTCCGACATGCCACCGACAGGTGGTATCCGAGGGGATTTCCGCACGGAAAAAAAAAAAAAAGGGGAAATGAATGTGTTTTACGATTTGTTTCGGAATGGTTACGAAAGATTTACTTTACTTTGTTTACGAAAGAATTAGTTGTCATACTACAATCAATTCACTTTAGTTTTTTTAAAAATATAAAAATAAAAACATTGTTTGAAATTGCAACATGACAAGTGTTGATAAAAATTTATAAGTTCAGTTATAGCCTATATCTAGTCACTTTTACTTTAATATTTATTATATTTAATTTTGGACGAACAATAAGCTTGTTAACATATTACCATTGCAATACTAGCCAATAGTATACTAAGTATATACAAATTCACGGCAATTATGTTTGTGAAAGAAAAGTTGTTTTCTTAAATAATTAGCTTACGGAATAATAATGTCAATCAACGGAAACGTTATTGAGAACATACTATAAGTTCAAATCAATACTTGAAACTAGTTTCAACTAAGTAAAACTTAAAACGCGTTCTAAAATAAGATCGATACTTAATTTTGATCTACACTTAAAACTAGTTGAAACTAAGTTATTGCCTGAAGGTAATCAGAGTTCATCTCTCACTCGGTAACATGATTGCCGCCATGTTACGGAGCGAAAGTTCGTGGAACTCCGCCGTCTCCTTTTGCGAGCAAGTTATGCTTGCAAAAAAAAAGATCCACCCAGGACAAGACGTATCTCTGTGCAAAAATTGAAAAACACAAATCTGCATTTTACTTACAGCAAATGGAATGGAAATTAAGACAACATTAATAATAATTAAATAGTGACTGCGATCGGCGTAGCAATTGGTGCAGAGTTCAGACCTAGCATACATTATATTATTATTTTATTTAAATTAAGATAAATGATGATGATGATCTGCCTGTCTATCTGTCCGCCTGTTACCATTCACACTGAACCGATTTAGGTGGAATTTGGTATAGAAATATTTCAAGTCCCGGGAAGGACATAGGTTTTATCCCTAAAATCATCCTTTAAGGGGGTGAAAAGGGGGGTGAAGTTTGTATGCGAAATCAATTACCGCTGAACTGATTTCGATGAAATTTGGTAAATAGATAGTTTGATTCTTGAGAAAGGACAAACGCGCGAATGGAGTCGGCAAAGCTAGTAACTTATAAATACATATAGCTTGATTGCTAAGAAAATAATGTTACGAGCGGGGTATATAATAAATTAAACGTGTCGCTTAATTATTAAAATTGTACTGTATTTCCAAACACTTACTATAACCAACAAAAAATCACTATATAACTAGTTAGTCACACTAGAAATTCACTTCGATGTTAATTCGCTGTGTCGTAAAAAGATACTGTCTCGTACGGCCAACACGCTCCGCTTTTATAGTGCTATCGACATTACTAGATTAATCCCGAATATTCAAGGGAATGTTCCAGACAAAACATACAACTCACATAAGGCATCTAGAAATGTCTATGATCTTCCGATATTCAACTCTAGATGGCACTGCAAGCAAGTGTCGGAATAAATAACCATAATCTAAATGCGTAGCGTTGACCCATACTTGATACGGCGCTATAATGATGATAATGGCGCTGTCTTCCAGACACAACACAAGAACCACTCAATCCTATGGCGCAACAATAATATTTTAAATAGGTTCATTTAGAATGTTATGGAGGATAGGTAAGTTATAGTTACTAATTAAAGTTTTTGTTTTAAGTACTTACAAAAAAAGTTGTGCCGTTTTCAATAAATAAATACTTCAGTTAATTTTTTTCTTTTTAGTTTTTAGGTAGGAAGTTTTTGTTTTAATGGTTTTTTGAAGTATCTTTAGTCTTTTTTTAAAGTGTTTTTTTGCACACTCAACTGCTTTTGGCGCCTGCACTATGAGGAGAGATAAATAGTTGAATTATCATGAGTAGCACGTGCATACTAATAGCTTTGACGAACAGCAATAACGTTCAATGTTCAAGGTAGATGTCCTTTTCAGTATTCATAGGCACGTGCACAATTTTATGATAATCGGCAAAAACGGAATGAGGGGTCAATGGACCTCCGATCGGAACAAAGTTCCTTTGGCTTTTTGATAGTCTTTTGCTATAAGGTCAGGCGGGGCAAGTGCGCCGACGGGGTAAGCGCACCCCTCCCTAAAAATATCAAAAACCACTGATATTAGACAACTTACGACATCTTACATTAATGCAACAAACAAAAACATAGTTCCACTTTAGATCACAGAAGTCTCTGTTCATCATAACTTTATGTATCCACCATTTTAGTTTTAGTGTAATTGAAACCTGTTACCAGAGATGAACACCTGTTAATTAATCCCCTTAAATCTAAAATATTTTACGTGCTGCGGCAAACCAATGATTTAAGTACAGAATTTAATAGTTTTTCTTTAAATCTATGTCTGTATTTTAGTCCTAGATAAGGAAATATATTTTTTATAAAGAATTTAAAATCTTACCCTCAAAATAATCAAGTGAGGCAAGCGCGCCTAACTTTTTTGTAATAGGTATGGCGCACTTCCCCCAAAGCAGAAGTTGTCAACTTTTATTCAATTCATATAACATTTAAAAGTACTGATTTTCGTTAAAATCTTCTATTGTTACACGAATAAGTTGTTAATTCTATTAAAAGTAATAGTCATAACTTATTAACGGATAGGTATTTTCAAAAAAAATTGAGTGAATTGTTTGAGTGACATTAAATAGGACATTTGTTTGATCACCCGGTATAAAAGTCGTTTAAAGTTAGTGCTAACAGTTAATAAATAGTACTTGTAATTTCCTTTGTTCGTTACTGTATGCGCGCTTAGGTAGACCTAAGCTTATTAATCAGCAGCAATAATCGAGGTCAGGCTAGTTCGCGATGAGTCTTTGGATGGGTGGCCGGAAAATCATTGATCTGGCTTTATTATTCAACATCAGTCCATTAAGCCATGTCAGAGACCTTCAGACTGAGCCTGAACAACTCTGACACTAGCTTGCCCACAGATCTTTCGACAAAAAGATGCAGTTGGACAGCTGCCGTAAAGTCCACGCTAGATGAGTATGGACTTATCTGGTTGTGAACTTTACGGTAGCTGTCCTGTAAAGTTTAGTATTTACTGTAAAGTCTATGGCGCGCTTACCCCAAATTTGTTAAGAAAGCTGCATCAACCTATAGTACTAATAAATTAAAAAGAAACCCAGAGTAATTCGTTTAGTTGTTTATGTTCTATTGAGTATATTATCTGTTTTTCTGGTAAGATATGATTTTAGTGTTATTTTTTATATCGGCGCACTTGCCCCACTTTCCAGGCAAGTGCGCCTATATAAATGTTTTCCAATTTCTTATAAAATATCATAAAAATGTTGATAGATTACATTGAATCGTCTTTTCTTGCAGCTACACCATACCAAATAAGA